GCATGTGGTCATAAGATGAGAACAAGACAATTTATAAATTGTAAATTTTTCACAACTGCATGTCCGGTCATCAATACAAACAACATGTGTATTACCGTTACTACTGACCACCTCCGCAACTTCTCGTCGCATGTGAAATGGTGTAACAGTACACATTCATGCTTTTACCTGGTTGGGTCGCATAAACTCGATTGCTTTAGGTGAGTACTCCAAACCATCCTCTATGCACCGTTGTGCATGTTCACAGCGTTCACAAAAGTATTTTGTGAGCCGATAAAATATGAATTTAACACATGCAGTGATAGGAAGCATCCTAGCACCTTTCAATGCACCATTGAACACCTCAGAAACATTAGTTGTGGTTGTTCCGTATTGCCGACCACCATCATAGGCAAGTGTCCACTGTTGTGCTGGAATATCAGCTAACCACTTCCATGCTTCAGGATTTATACTTTTAATTTCTTCCATTATCAAATTAAACTTGCGAATCTGATGTACTGTCCCAGCCTTCCACACTTTATCTTTCAAATACATGTTATTGTAACGTGTGTTGAAATTGCTTTGTACATGTCTTAGACAGAGACGATTATAGGCGTATGGCTCATTCCACCCAGAACCTTGTTTCTTAACCGCTGAAATTATACCTTTATGTCGATCTGAGATTAAGCATATATCAGCTCTATTCGGCACAACAGAGTGGTGTAGATGATATAGGAACCAACCCCAGCTTTCACTAGTCTCCTCATGAACAAAGGCAAATGCTAGAGGGAAAATATGCTTCTGAGCGTCAATCCCAGTAGCAATAAGAAGCTTATGCTTGTACTTGCCATTTACAAATGTGCCATCGATGTCGATTACAGGCCGACAATGAACNTTTGCACCCAAGAGGCAGATTTTAAATTCTGAAATAATTTGACAAAGATTGGTTATGACAAAATTCGATTTAGGGCAAAATCAAATNTCCATTTCATTTCGAATGCGCGAGGTCTTTGGACGTCCTCTAGCTCCTCGACGTAACAACCTATCAGGGCATAATGTAGGGCCATCAGTAGCATTCCAATAATCTTGGTGGTGTAGAGGATGAAGATTAGGTGCCCAGNGCCCAGAACACCTTTCCAAATATATCAAATTCGGGAGCACAAGCCTCATATTGCCACTTTATAATCGTCCCAGGGTTGTATTTCACAAGAGCACCCATAAACCTCAGCAACATGTTGTAAGAACAATCCCAGTCACCGAAAATCTTGGCTATAGCCTTATTCTTTGCTTTCCACGCCTTCTTGTACGTTATCAAATAATGATACTCTTTTTTCACCATTTCAATGATGATATACATTGTTACATTAGGTGTAGCCTGAACCACACCCTCAATCCATTGAGAAATAAAACCTGCATCAAACTGACAGTGGTCCTGGTTGGGTAGAAACAAATGTGAGGTGCCTGATATTTTGTGATCTCAAACATTTTATGCTTCGCCTTCAACACCGCCCGTAGCCTCCATTTGCATCCACATTGTGCATACATCTTGCACCTCAACACCCAACGCTTTTTATTTGTATCAACAACAACATATTGTTGGTGCATCTTAATTAAATACAATTTAACTGACATCTCCAGGTCTTTTTTACTCCTGAACACCATACCCTTAGCCAATTCTGGTCTTGTAGGATCCCATGTTTTAATTCCATGCAAAATGCACAAACTATCAACTTCATTCTGGTTTCCCGATTCAACATTTGAGAAAAATGTTGACTCCAGCTCATGCATAGGAACCTCACCATCATCCTCAGCAGAATTACCTTCAGCATTATAATCATCATCATCAGAGTCATCACTCAATACATTTTCTGGCAACTTTTCTTCTTCGTAGTAATCATTCTGGTCATTAGCACACATTCCTTCATATATATTATTAGCAATCTGATGCAGTACAAGTGCTTGGACAGGGTCCACTGGTGCTGGTGTTTGGGTAACTGTAATCATTTTCATCCCCTCGTTACCCAGTCCAACACTATACTTTTGTTGAGAAGAGCTTTCGGGAAAAGTACTAGGCCCTGTTTCAGCCTGTGCATGTGTATATTAATTGTATTCTTCCATACACTACAGTGTTAAAGGGGTGTAATAATTACCCACCATGGCTGAAGGGTCGAGCACTGGAATATATGGTTGTTGGCTGAGCATGGAAGTGTATGAACTAACATCAGGCCAACCTTCATTACTTCCACCAATGTCATCTGCTCTAACCTCTTCGCTAACATACAAATCAACTTTGTTAACACCTTGATTGTCAAATACAACATCCACCATTGCCTCCACACCATCGTTGTCAACAACTTCTACTGGAATATATGTAAGCAAGTTAGTTCCCAATGCAATAGGAAACCTACAGATAAGTTTGAGGTTGTATTTATTCCTATCTATCCCCATCACATCATGCAACCTATCCGCCAATGTCGAGTATGTTGTGTCATGTAAAACCTTTATCACACGCTTATAACCATTATCGTATCGTAACACATCATGGTTCTTGAATATGCTACCACCCCAATAAATCATCACAGAAGCACGTCTTCCAGCCATTCTTATCAATTCTACAATAAATACATCAAAAGTTAGTGTGTATAAACAACCAAAACTTTTGCTTGTTCATGATTTGAAATGTAAATAAACCGGGTAGCCCGTTCTAATTTTCAATCATCCAATATTAATGAAGGAGCACATTAAGTACATAAAATGGTTGACACTTACATCAGGAAAGTAATCTATTAAAATTGCTAAAATATTTTGAAAACTTTACAAAATGAACTCGCCAATTCTAATAGAAACTTTTGTATCCCTCCTAAATTAAGTTCGATATGCTCCAGTCAATTAATACCTTAATTATTAGGACTCCAACACTGTGCAAAATAGACTACACTCATTCATTCAATCATGACTGGTTTGGAGGGGGAAGAGATGGAAAAGTATAGAAAAAAAAATGGAAAAGTATAGAAAAAAATTTTGAAATTAGAGCACAAGAGTGACTAACTTTTACAGAGAATGCAAAAAAATTAAATTTGAGACCTTTGAATTACCAAAAGTCAAAATAAATTCATCCAATAACTCCTAACAATTTTTCCATATGGGATTATACATTAAAATATTGTATACAAGTTAAACTAAATACCGAAGAGAGAGAGAGAGAGAGAGAGAGAGAGAGAGAGTAATTTGTTTGAAATAAATCATTAAGAACTGACTTAAACAAAATCTAGACTCACAATGGTATTATTGATTTTACTTTTTCTTACGGGCCTACCGCACTTGGAATGACAATTTCAAAAGATAATTTTTTGTGTGCGATTGTATTTTGATTTCCTTGTTGAACATAAACACAATCACACCCATTTGACTTATCACTTCTCTCAAAAATTTCTTCTATTAATAAAAAAAAATTACAAAAATCATATTGTCACTGACATTGTATAACTATCCCACAACAACTTTGGCATCATGTCTATTGCATTTCACACGTACAAAATAATGGCTTTATCGAAAAATCATGATTCAACCCCCAACTGATGAAAATAAGTGATAAATTATCCGGCGAACTCTCTACTTCAGTGATTGATCTAGGTTTAGAAATTTCAACAAATACAAAGAGCATGGGTTAGAGTAAGTAGGCCAAATATTTACGCGTCAATGCTGATGAAATGATCCCAAAAGAGTACAATTACTTTGGTACTTATTTCTCAACAAGTATGCAATCCACGAAAATATGTGGGATTTAAAGCAACATCTTGGAGAACGAACATGGAGCAACATGCCGTCCCGAAAAACAGTGAGACATTAGTGCATCATCAAAAAGAAAATTTGATCACAGTAAATTCATCACGAAACTAAAAGTAGTGGATGACTATATTTATTCTTATTCAACTGTTGGTGCTGGGTCTTTCTCTATTGTTTTCTCCTTTCCTTTAAATATTATTTAGATGGAAAGAAGCCTAGTATATAGTGATTTCCATGTACATGGTGTGTAGAATTATCATGATGGTAGCTTCGATCTCAGAACTTCTAGACTTAACTCAATCCACATTATCATGTAGAATTATCATGTTTGGGGAAAACCTCCAGACTCAACTCAATCCACATTAACATGATGGTAGCTCCGATCTTAGAACTTCATATACAAAACAAAAGTCAAGAGAAGATATAGAAGTCTTGTTAAATGGAAATAGTTCCAGTATGCTTATATCAAAGTGAGCATAAAGATTGAAAACTTCTCAAGTCCACAACATTAATTCTCATAAATAATTCAAATTTCTCATTCAAACAGCAAAGCAAATCAAAAGTACATATGATAGGCATATAAATCTACTAAAATCTTGAATAAAACATAAAATCAAAGCAAAAGTTCAGATGGTATGCACGTATATTAGAGTGTATAGACACTTTTATATAAAACATCGAGTTTTTCTAGGACGACATCTATGACAATAAACATTGATAGACACTTGTGACTTACCCATGAAGCTAAAATCAAAAACCAACGTACGTCAGGGAACAAGACGTTCACTACCAAGTCTGTTTTACTTATAAATTTTATGCAATCCAGATATTTGTGCTTAGTGTTTCACATAATTATTAAACAACTGAATAGAGCAAGAAAAGTCATATTACTATGTCATTGCTCTCTTTTTCTATTATTCTAGGACATTAGGGGCAATGGTTCACATGAATGATTTGCACCCAAGAGGCAGATTTTAAATTCTGAAATAATTTGACAAAGATTGGTTATGACAAAATTCGATTTAGGGCAAAATCAAATTTTAGGGCAAAATCGAATTTAGGGCAAATTCTGAAATAATTCTGAGATTTTAAATTCTGACATAATTTGACAAAAATTGGTTAGGGCAAAATTCAATTTAGGACAAAATCGAATTTTAGGGCAAAATCGAATTTTGGGCAAAATTCGATTTTGGGCAAAAAATAGTTAGGGCATATATGAAGAATGAACAATATACTCATTGCTCACCTGGTGGAAGTCGCTGGTCGCTGGTGGTGGAGGCTATGGTGGCTAGTTGGAGGCTGTGGTCGCTGGTGGTAGAGGTTGTGGTCGTTGGTGGTGGAGGCTGTGGTCGCTGGTTGGAGCTCGTTGGAGGCTGTGGCCGTTGGTTGGAGCTCGTCGGAATGTTGTCCGACTGAGAGTGGTTGAGGCGGAGGAGAGTTAAGTGGGAGTAGTGTGATATTTGAAATTCATTTAAGTAACCTGTGATATTTGAATAACATGTGATATAATATTTGAAATTAATTTGAACGTTAAAATCGTCATTAACGTTTTTTAAGTCGTTGTTCAAAATGACGTTTTTCTTCATTTTATAAATTTTAACGTCTGTTACTACTGTTTAAAAAAATCAAGTGTAAAAACGTCATTTTGAACGACANTGAGCGTCAATCCCAGTAGCAATAAGAAGCTTATGCTTGTACTTGCCATTTACAAATGTGCCATCGATGTCGATTACAGGCCGACAATGAACAACCCATCAATAGAAGCTTTGAATGCCCAGAACACCTTTCCAAATATATCAAATTCGGGAGCACAAGCCTCATATTGCCACTTTATAATCGTCCCAGGGTTGTATTTCACAAGAGCACCCATAAACCTCAGCAACATGTTGTAAGAACAATCCCAGTCACCGAAAATCTTGGCTATAGCCTTATTCTTTGCTTTCCACGCCTTCTTGTACGTTATCAAATAATGATACTCTTTTTTCACCATTTCAATGATGATATACATTGTTACATTAGGTGTAGCCTGAACCACACCCTCAATCCATTGAGAAATAAAACCTGCATCAAACTGACAGTGGTCCTGGTTGGGTAGAAACAAATGTGAGGTGCCTGATATTTTGTGATCTCAAACATTTTATGCTTCGCCTTCAACACCGCCCGTAGCCTCCATTTGCATCCACATTGTGCATACATCTTGCACCTCAACACCCAACGCTTTTTATTTGTATCAACAACAACATATTGTTGGTGCATCTTAATTAAATACAATTTAACTGACATCTCCAGGTCTTTTTTACTCCTGAACACCATACCCTTAGCCAATTCTGGTCTTGTAGGATCCCATGTTTTAATTCCATGCAAAATGCATAAACTATCAACTTCATTCTGGTTTCCCGATTCAACATTTGAGAAAAATGTTGACTCCGGCTCATGCATAGGAACCTCACCATCATCCTCAGCAGAATTACCTTCAGCATTATAATCATCATCATCAGAGTCATCACTCAATACATTTTCTGGCAACTTTTCTTCTTCGTAGTAATCATTCTGGTCATTAGCACACATTCCTTCATATATATTATTAGCAATCTGATGCAGTACAAGTGCTTGGACAGGGTCCACTGGTGCTGGTGTTTGGGTAACTGTAATCATTTTCATCCCCTCGTTACCCAGTCCAACACTATACTTTTGTTGAGAAGAGCTTTCGGGAAAAGTACTAGGCCCTGTTTCAGCCTGTGCATGTGTATATTAATTGTATTCTTCCATACACTACATTGTTAAAGGGGTGTAATAATTACCCACCATGGCTGAAGGGTCGAGCACTGGAATATATGGTTGTTGGCTGAGCATGAAAGTGTATGAACCAACATCAGGCCAACCTTCATTACTTCCACCAATGTCATCTGCCCTAACCTCTTCGCTAACATACAAATCAACTTTGTTAACACCTTGATTGTCAAATACAACATCCACCATTGCCTCCACACCATCGTTGTCAACAACTTCTACTGGAATATATGTAAGCAAGTTAGTTTCCAATGCAATAGGAAACCTACAGATAAGTTTGAGGTTGTATTTATTCCTATCTATCCCCATCACATCATGCAACCTATCCGCCAATGTCGAGTATGTTGTGTCATGTAAAACCTTTATCACACGCTTATAACCATTATCGTATCGTAACACATCATGGTTCTTGAATATGCTACCACCCCAATAAATCATCACAGAAGCACGTCTTCCAGCCATTCTTATCAATTCTACAATAAATACATCAAAAGTTAGTGTGTATAAACAACCAAAACTTTTGCTTGTTCATGATTTGAAATGTAAATAAACCGGGTAGCCCGTTCTAATTTTCAATCATCCAATATTAATGAAGGAGCACATTAAGTACATAAAATGGTTGACACTTACATCAGGAAAGTAATCTATTAAAATTGCTAAAATATTTTGAAAACTTTACAAAATGAACTCGCCAATTCTAATAGAAACTTTTGTATCCCTCCTAAATTAAGTTCGATATGCTCCAGTCAATTAATACCTTAATTATTAGGACTCCAACACTGTGCAAAATAGACTACACTCATTCATTCAATCATGACTGGTTTGGAGGGGGAAGAGATGGAAAAGTATAGAAAAAAAAATGGAAAAGTATAGAAAAAAATTTTGAAATTAGAGCACAAGAGTGACTAACTTTTACAGAGAATGCAAAAAAATTAAATTTGAGACCTTTGAATTACCAAAAGTCAAAATAAATTCATCCAATAACTCCTAACAATTTTTCCATATGGGATTATACATTAAAATATTGTATACAAGTTAAACTAAATACCGAAGAGAGAGAGAGAGAGAGAGAGAGAGAGAGAGAGTAATTTGTTTGAAATAAATCATTAAGAACTGACTTAAACAAAATCTAGACTCACAATGGTATTATTGATTTTACTTTTTCTTACGGGCCTACCGCACTTGGAATGACAATTTCAAAAGATAATTTTTTGTGTGCGATTGTATTTTGATTTCCTTGTTGAACATAAACACAATCACACCCATTTGACTTATCACTTCTCTCAAAAATTTCTTCTATTAAAAAAAAAAAATTACAAAAATCATATTGTCACTGACATTGTATAACTATCCCACAACAACTTTGGCATCATGTCTATTGCATTTCACACGTACAAAATAATGGCTTTATCGAAAAATCATGATTCAACCCCCAACTGATGAAAATAAGTGATAAATTATCCGGCGAACTCTCTACTTCAGTGATTGATCTAGGTTTAGAAATTTCAACAAATACAAAGAGCATGGGTTAGAGTAAGTAGGCCAAATATTTATGCGTCAATGCTGATGAAATGATCCCAAAAGAGTACAATTACTTTGGTACTTATTTCTCAACAAGTATGCAATCCATGAAAATATGTGGGATTTAAAGCAACATCTTGGAGAACGAACATGGAGCAACATGCCGTCCCGAAAAACNTCTAGACTCACAATGGTATTATTGATTTTACTTTTTCTTACGGGCCTACCGCACTTGGAATGACGATTTCAAAAGATAATTTTTTGTGTGCGATTGTATTTTGATTTCCTTGTTGAACATAAACACAATCACACCCATTTGACTTATCACTTCTCTCAAAAATTTCTTCTATTAATAAAAAAAAATTACAAAAATCATATTGTCACTGACATTGTATAACTATCCCACAACAACTTTGGCATCATGTCTATTGCATTTCACACGTACAAAATAATGGCTTTATCGAAAAATCATGATTCAACCCCCAACTGATGAAAATAAGTGATAAATTATCCGGCGAACTCTCTACTTCAGTGATTGATCTAGGTTTAGAAATTTCAACAAATACAAAGAGCATGGGTTAGAGTAAGTAGGCCAAATATTTATGCGTCAATGCTGATGAAATGATCCCAAAAGAGTACAAATTACTTTGGTACTTATTTCTCAACAAGTATGCAATCCACGAAAATAGGTGGGATTTAAAGCAACATCCTGGAGAACGAACATGGAGCAACATGCCGTCCCTAAAAACAGTGAGACATTAGTGCATCATCCAAAAGAAAATTTGATCACAGTAAATTCATCACGAAACTAAAAGTAGTGGATGACTATATTTATTCTTATTCAACTGTTGGTGCTGGGTCTGTCTTTATTACTTTCTCCTTTCCTTTAAATATTATTTAGATGGAAAGAAGCCTAGTATATAGTGATTTCCATGTACATGGTGTGTAGAATTATCATGATGGTAGNTTTGGCATCATGTCTATTGCATTTCACACGTACAAAATAATGGCTTTATCGAAAAATCATGATTCAACCCCCAACTGATGAAAATAAGTGATAAATTATCCGGCGAACTCTCTACTTCAGTGATTGATCTAGGTTTAGAAATTTCAACAAATACAAAGAGCATGGGTTAGAGTAAGTAGGCCAAATATTTACGCGTCAATGCTGATGAAATGATCCCAAAAGAGTACAATTACTTTGGTACTTATTTCTCAACAAGTATGCAATCCACGAAAATATGTGGGATTTAAAGCAACATCTTGGAGAACGAACATGGAGCAACATGACGTCCCTAAAAACAGTGAGACATTAGTGCATCATCCAACAGAAAATTTGATCACAGTAAATTCATCACGAAACTGCTGGTGCTGGGTCTTTCTCTATTGCTTTCTCCATTCCTTTAAATATTATTTAGATGGAAAGAAGCCTAGTATATAGTGATTTCCATGTACATGGTGTGTAGTATTATCATGATGGTAGCTCCGATCTCAAAACTTCCAGACTCAACTCAATCCACATTATCATGTACAATTATCATGTAGAATTATCATGTTTGGGGAAAACCTCCAGACTCAACTCAATCCACATTATCATGATGGTAGCTCCGATCTCAGAACTTCATATACAAAACAAAAGTCAAGAGAAGATGTAGAAGTCTTGTTAAATGGAAATAGTTCCAGTATGCTTATATCAAAGTGAGCATAAAGATTGAAAACTTCTCAAGTCCACAACATTAATTCTCATAAATAATTCAAATTTCTCATTCAAACAGCAAAGCAAATCAAAAGTACATATGATAGGCATATAAATCTACTAAAATCTTGANCGTCCCTAAAAACAGTGAGACATTAGTGCATCATCAAAAAGAAAATTTGATCACAGTAAATTCATCACGAAACTAAAAGTAGTGGATGACTATATTTATTCTTATTCAACTGTTGGTGCTGGGTCTTTCTCTATTGTTTTCTCCTTTCCTTTAAATATTATTTAGATGGAAAGAAGCCTAGTATATAGTGATTTCCATGTACATGGTGTGTAGAATTATCATGATGGTAGCTTCGATCTCAGAACTTCCAGACTTAACTCAATCCACATTATCATGTAGAATTATCATGTTTGGGGAAAACCTCCAGACTCAACTCAATCCACATTATCATGATGGTAGCTCCGATCTTAGAACTTCATATACAAAACAAAAGTCAAGAGAAGATGTAGAAGTCTTGTTAAATGGAAATAGTTCCAGTATGCTTATATCAAAGTGAGCATAAAGATTGAAAACTTCTCAAGTCCACAACATTAATTCTCATAAATAATTCAAATTTCTCATTCAAACAGCAAAGCAAATCAAAAGTACATATGACAGGCATATAAATCTACTAAAATCTCGAATAAAACATAAAATCAAAGCAAAAGTTCAGATGGTATGCACGTATATTAGAGTGTATAGACACTTTTATATAAAACATCGAGTTTTTCTGGGACGGCATCTATGACAATAAACATTGATAGACACTTGTGACTTACCCACGAAGCTAAAATCAAAAACCAGCGTACGTCAGGGAACAAGACGTTCACTACCAAGTCTGTTTTACTTATAAATTTTATGCAATCCAGATATTTGTGCTTAGTGTTTCACATAATTATTAAACAACTGAATAGAGCAAGAAAAGTCATATTACTATGTCATTGCTCTCTTTTTCTATTATTCTAGGACATTAGGGGCAATGGTTCACATGAATGATTTGCACCCAAGAGGCAAATTTTAAATTCTGAAATAATTTGACAAAGATTGGTTATGACAAAATTCGATTTAGGGCAAAATCAAATTTTAGGGCAAAATCGAATTTAGGGCAAATTCTGAAATAATTCTGAGATTTTAAATTCTGACATAATTTGACAAAAATTGGTTAGGGCAAAATTCAATTTAGGACAAAATCGAATTTTAGGGCAAAATCGAATTTTGGGCAAAATTCGATTTTGGGCAAAAAATAGTTAGGGCATATATGAAGAATGAACAATATACTCATTGCTCACCTGGTGGAAGTCGCTGGTCGCTGGTGGTGGAGGCTATGGTGGCTAGTTGGAGGCTGTGGTCGCTGGTGGTAGAGGTTGTGGTCGTTGGTGGTGGAGGCTGTGGTCGCTGGTTGGAGCTCGTTGGAGGTTGTGGCCGTTGGTTGGAGCTCGTCGGAGTGTTGTCCGACTGAGAGTGGTTGAGGCGGAGGAGAGTTAAGTGGGAGTAGTGTGATATTTGAAATTCATTTAAGTAACCTGTGATATTTGAATAACATGTGATATAATATTTGAAATTAATTTGAACGTTAAAATCGTCATTGTAAATGACGTTTTTTAAGTCGTTGTTCAAAATGACGTTTTTCTTCATTTTATAAATTTTAACGTCTGTTACTATTGTTTAAAAAAATCAAGTGTAAAAACATCATTTTGAACGACAACTTAAAAAACGTCATTATCAATGACGTTTTTCAGGAAAAAATTTTTAACTTTAAATCGTCATTTCAAATGACGTTTTTAAAAAAAGATTGAATTTGAGAATTAAGTTTAAAAATAAATGAATTTGATAATTAAGTTTTGAAGGAACACGAATTTAATCTAAAGGTCAAACAGAATGGTATGGCTATAAAAGACTGCCTTTGTCTTTACGAGAAAGCATCGGGACAAAAAATTTATCTCTCAAAATCTACTGGCATTTAGCAAGAACATTAGCCCAGCTACCTTGGATTCCATAAAAGAAGTATTGTAGATTTCTGTGGTCAACTGCCATGAAAAATACATAGGACTCCTTTGAATCGCAGGTAGATCCAAGACGGTGATTTTCATATCAATAAAGCAAAAGGTATGGAGCAAGTTCCAAGGTTGGAAGCAGAAATTATCATCGAAAGCTAGAATCGAGACCTTCATTAAAGCCGTTGTACAAGTTTTGTCCTCGTATGTTCTGTCTTTATTTAAACTACCAATTTCGTTATGCTCTGAATTGAACAGCATGGTGGCAAACTTCCGGTGGGGAAGTAATAACGACGGGAGAAAGATCCATTCGATGTCATGGGATAGGTTTTGCCTACCAAAAAATAAGGGAGGATTGGAATTCAAAAACCTAACAGCTTTCAATTTAGCGCTTCTTGCTAAACAATTTTGGTGGCTATTGAAAAACCAAAATTCGATGTTTTTTAAGGTTTTGAAGGAAAAATATTTTCCCATTTCAACTTTGATGGATGCTCAATTGGGTTTTCGGCCTTGGTTTACATGGCGCAGTATCCTGGAATTTAGAAAGGTGGTCAAGGCATGAATGAGATGGAGAGTAGGTAACGGGAAAGATATTAAGGTGAAAAGCGATCCATGGATACCTAGATCATCCACCTTCAAAGTTTTTAGTCCTCTTATGGACTCGAATTACGATACTCGAGTAAGCTCTCTTTTGGATTTTGAACGAAAGCATTGAAGGATCGATTTATCGAAGCAAATGTTCTTAGACTTGGATGCAGAGATAATTACATCTATACCTGTTTGTGAACTACTCCCTGAGGACAAACTAATTTGGCATTATACTAGATCGGGCAAGTTCTTTGTGCATAGCGCATATCCTTTAGTAATGGAGAATGGTCTTGACTGTATTCACCCCCCAAACAATGCTTCTAGCAGTGACACAACATGTTGGCCAGGAAGGCTCTTATGGAATCTGAATGTCCCTAACAAAGTCAAACATTTCATATAGAGGGCTCTACATGATATTCTCCCCACACAATGTAATCTTCTTCGGAGGAAGGTGCTCACTTTGGACTTTGTTCATGAAGCTTCTTGAGGATCCATGTATTTTTCTCTCCCTTTGGGCCCCCCCTTTCTCTCTTTTTGCCCCCTTTTCTCTGCGCAAACACCCATCCCCACGTGAAATGTTTGTTAAAATGCCATAGACAAACAGATCACTTGAATAGCTCACTATATACATAATAATAAGGAATTGAATTAAATAGTTTAGTTAGTTTTTGTGTTTGTGTGGAATGGATTGTGTCGCCAGGTGTTTGATATGAGGCCAATGAGAGTTTGTAACTCCGAAATCTATTTGCGGATTGGACTCTGGAATCTGTGTATGGTTTTTGCCTGCCAAAAGCAAATACCGGAGCCTTGGTCCAGTAATTCCAGCAGATTCGTACACCCAAGGAGCCTGAGTTGTGTATTATACGATCCCATGTCATTTGCCCTTACTCTGGCCCAACAACTGTACCCTCTCACTTTTCTTTCTCTATGTCTCCTCCACTCTGGCCACCGACGGACCAGTAAAGCCATGATGGCTCCTCCTCTTAGTCCCTGCCTCAACCTGCTAACAAAGGCTAGCAGGAGGTAACCTCCTCTTCATCACAGTGACCACCTAAAACATTTTGTGATTTGGATTAATTTTTCTCTGATTTTTGTGAATTTGAGATTTTACATGTGTTTGAAATTTTGTTTGATAGCAGATTTGAGATTTCACTGTTAGTTTGATCTATATCACATCTATAGAATTGAATTGAAAAAGATTATTAATTGCACTGTGAAAGAAATTGTTTTTGGTCTATATCATTGAGATTTTGGTATATTATATTTGTTTTATTGTGGAATTTGTACTGCATTTTTGCGAGTTTGAGATTTCACTGATATTTTGGTTTACATCAGTGTTATATTTGAAACTATTTGTTAATTGGTTGTGAAAGAAGGTTTGTTTGGTCTATATCACTATTATATTATCAAGATAAACTATTAATTGTTCTATCCACCTCACCAAATCCCTTATCAACTATTTCCGGCTCCTATTTTTTTGTAGGTTGTGGAATGTGCGTGAGTATGTCATTGCTTCTATTTATGTTGAATTCTTTTATGGGTCTTTGTTCATTTGTCGGTCTATTAATATTAATGGGATTCTATTATTCATTTATTTTTTTCAAGTATAAGTTTAAACAGCTAATGGGAAATTTTGAACTACTAATTTGTGCTTCTATCGTTGTACTTTAGATTTAATTGAAATTTTCATTTCAACAAAGAAGGTTAGCATGCAAACTATGGAAGACGCACTCCTAAGATAGCAGAAGAAGCACTTATAAATGATTGATCAGGTATCCTATATACATGGACTGTCGTTATGTTTCAATGCAAACTATGATTGCTGCACTTCTTGGAACCAAAACAATGGAAAAGTTCATATCCTATTCACCTTAAAGTTTCCTAATATTTCTTTGCAAATACAAGCTTTGTTGTTTAATGTATTTTTGGCTATAATTTAAGTTCAAAATCATTAATTCGAAGGAAGTCATTATAGCGAGAAGAAACGGCCAGTTAAGTTCTTCGTCATTTGCTTAACCTTCAACTTCTTCGTCTGCCAACTGAAAAAAAAAAAAGTGAGCTATAAAGAATACTTTTCTTGTGTAATATATGTAATAAAATGTGCTTATGGTGCTTTTAAAACTTCAATTATGATTAATGGTCAACTAAAAAAACTATGTTTCATCTTCTTGGTCAACTTTATGATCCTGCTTATTTTATATCTATTTAATTATGAATTTGGAGTAAATTTTTTGAGTGCTACATAGAGTTCTCATCTGGCTTAGGCAATTTCAAGCTTGAATTTTGATTGGGTTTATACAATTTTTGGGGTGTAGAGAGTTTTGAAATTTTCTTTGCTTCTTTAACAAACATCTTTCTATTTTTCTTTCTCTTTCTCACGGTGTTGTTTTTGTTTGTTTAGTAAACTAATTAAATGTCTATGTTCTGTCACCAATATGGCTTTGAGCACTTATTGTTTGTTTGCATGAGTGCTATCTAATGTTATTATTTGTTTTGACCTATATTTTATCAATTCCCAACTATGAAAAACACTGACGAAGCACCTTGTACTAATGCCTCGAAGATGATTACATTAAATTGATTTTTAAAACACATTCAAATTTGTGGGATTTTTGTTTATTGATTTAATATGTGAATTACTTTGCTAAGCAAATTTTTTTCTTTAAACTTGATTTAGTAGATAATTAGACAATAAATAGCTGCCTACTTTAATTTTTATCATTCACCTCGATTTTGTTTAAATTCTTAATTTTTTTTTTGTTATGTAGTGTCTTCAGGCACAAACACATATCTAGTGTGTGTGTATATATATATAGTAAAATTCAAATACAAAAATAGTACCACTTAAATAAAAAAAAATAGTAACATTCAAAAATAAAAAATAATACTATTGAATATTAATATTTAAAAAAATAACAACAATAACATAATCAACAAAAAAAGTAACATTGAATATTAATATTTTGAAAAAATAGTAATATTCAATATTAACAGTAACATGCTTATAAAAAAAATATTAAAATAGAAAAAAGTAGTAAGCTCCACAACAAAAAAAATAATAACATAAAAAAATAGTAGCATGCATAGTAATATTCAATATTAAATTAACCATAGTCTTCTCACAAAAAAAAAATTCAAATTTATAATTTCTAATTGAGATCTAAAACTAGCCTTGCAACATGGATCTAGAAAAATAAAGAACTTCTCGATAACATGAAATCAATTTATGTGATCCTTACATCAGATTTTTGGACAATGGGGTAGAGAACTTGTGGGTTAGTCAAAAATATGTTGGCCCATACTTACGTAAAAATGTATATAAGCTTCTTGATTTTCATGTTTCTTCCGAACCATATCATCATTGTTGTTGTCTCAGGGATTTTTGTATCGACAACTAGATTTTGCACAAAGTTATTGTAGGAAAGATTGTTGGGGGAGGATGAGTCTAAAAAGAAGAGTTAATATATATTTGGGACCACTAAAATATTTGGATGAGAAACAATCTGGTTGTGAAGTTTTTCAGAGGAAAGTCATAGTATATGAGAGAGAGAGAGATAGTAGTGATGTCAAATTTAAATTTGAATATAAGATTTTAAGGAAAAAATCTTTCATTAAGTGTGAGTCAAGATAACTCTTCAGAAAACTGATTTAATATTGAAGATTGTTTTAAGTCATTAGAAGAGTATTTTAGCGTTTTAAAAAAATAGTGAACTAAACTACTTATTAGTAAGATTAAAAATTAACTTACTCCTAAATAAGTTTTATTGGCGGACTAAATTCATTATAAGTCCCTTATGCTCCGTTTGGTAAGATGGATGGAAAATAAGAAGGATGAAAAATCGGAGGGATACACTTTCTATCCTTCAAGGATGGAAAGTAGGAGGGATGTACTTTCCTTCTTTTGTGTTTGTTTGGGTGGATGACAAAAAAAATGACTATTTTTTTTTTTTGTACTGGCTAAGATTAGAGGTGACAATCGAGTCGTGTCGTGTCAAATTCGTGTTGAATTATTACGGGTTTGTGTTGAATATTAGTCAAACCAAACTTAACTCATTTAACTAATTATGTCGTGTCAAGTTGCAAGTTGACTTGTTTATTTTCGTATTGAGTTCGAGTCAAATTATCGTGTTGAGACAAAANAGTTGCAAGCCCCTTGACATATTGATCATTTAAAGATCGATCGCTTGAAGCCCGAGTTGCCAATCCATCCATCGTATCTCCCAGCACCTGTGTAAACCGATCTTTTTCTGTGATATTCTGCATATTCCACATATACACCTTAGGTGATCCATCCATGGTCGCGAAAAAGGACATGTTATCATAATGTAGCATGCACTGATCATACCAAATATAGGCCTCTTTCTCCTTGGGACATCTCTGGATTATCTCTTGATTGGCATTCACCACACAATCATGGCAAGTATTAATGGTAACATCAACTCAACAGAGAAACAGGCCATAAGCCGCACCTGGAGGACCACGACCAGCAGTTGCATTATAAAACAAATTGTTGGGTGTATTGTTAGAAGAAAGATTAGAGAGGAGGACATTGAGATTGGATTTAAAGGTGCTATTAGGAAAGTAAATGGTTGTGTTGGAGCCACAAATATGAAAGAGATAGATAGGAGGAGCAGCTTCAGCACTTGGACTGAGCAACCAGAGGCTGGTAATTACTACCACTAAGGCCTTGGAGACAATATCTCTGTAAGGAAACACCATGATGCCAACAATGAGAAAGAAAGTTATGGAAATTTTATTTTTATATAGCAAATCATTGCCTTGGCTTCGGGGCATACATAACAATCTCTGTCAATAAAGTGGTTGAGCATTATTTCTTTCTTAGTGTTCATATTTGGAGAATAGGGCTGTTTGACTTACAATCATCATAGGAAGGAAATTTCTTTGTGAAAGTCTTCACAACACTTTCAAAAAATGGAAAGAGTCATGTTACCGAATGTTAATGTTACTATAAGAGTCGTGTTACTAGTACAATCGTGTTATTATACTGACACTAATGTTACTATAGTGAATTTTAATATACAATTGCAAATCTTGAGACGTATATTATGTAACATGCACTTTAATATTTACAGTAACATCAAAGTTTTGTGTTTAATAACACATCTAATTTTACAAAATATAAGACAATATTTTTTTACAGTAATATGAACTTTCAAATGATTTTAGTGAAAATACGATTCACAAATTATAAATTTACAAAATGACGAATAGTAACACACAATCGACAGTTGAATTAAGATATTCAACATTAATTGTAAAGATCAAGACATCGAAATTCTGAACTCCATTTTTCGGTTCACGTACAGTAACATGAACTTTTTTCACAGTAACACAACCAAGAGATACTCAATTGTCTTGTGCAACAAAAAAATAATAAAATCGAAATCTATAACACTTTAATTTAGTAATAATGTATGAATTCTTTTGAATTTTGGTTACAAGGTTAATGCCTACTTTAACAAAATTAAATTCCTAATTATTATTATTTTTTGATCATGTTACTATTTTTTGGTGAGCATGTTACTTTTTTTTAAGTGATCATGTTACTGTCTTTGTTGAATATGTTACTATTGTTATTTTTTAAA